TAATGGTGCATCTTAAGTGATTGACATATAACTTCTCCCCATAGTATATGTACATTATCCAGCAAACAGTTAATGAGAATACTCAAACTAATGTAGAAGTTGTTACTTTGATCTAACACTAAACTCTCGTAATTTACAAAGAAATGAGTAGCGGCTCGACGGGAGAATTAACAATAAGATCTTTGGAGTGAAAGAGTAAAAAAAAAAAAAAAAAAAAGATTTGCTGCAATTAAAAAACTGCAACATGTGGCAAGCGGACGAGAACGTCCGACAAGGCTATATTTTCACCATGAATCGAATGGATTCAATTTCCGTTACCATCGATCACAAAACGTCAGCTACAAATTCTTTTCAGTATTGCACGTAGTGTGATTGCTGAGTAATGGCATAAGTCATCACCTGAAAGTTGCACGTGAAGATTTCCAACCACTTTCCCTAAGGTTGTCATATGCTTCTAGTTTAAAACAATTAGCTCTCAGCTGGAAATTTTCGGAACGTCAAAGCACAGAGAAAGTACGTACCGAACACTGAGGGAACGCCGCGTCGAGTCCCTGCATCCCTGCTCACCGCCTTCTTCTTCTTCTTCTTCTTCTAGTCACAGTTTACTTTAAAACACCTTTTTTTTAGCAAAGACTAGGGTAAAGATATCTCATTTTTGCTTATGGTCACAAAAATTACTGCATAAATTTGTGGTTATGAACAAGCTATCTTCAACCTCAGCAACCTTTCGTCTTCTGAAATAACGGTTAGAAGAGAATTGCTTTTTCTCATTTTTCACAGAAGAATTTACTCAACATGCTGAGTCTGTCGCTTTAAAAAGAAAATTAATTTACTGGTGTGTTATGAGGATCTTTGCAAATTTGCCAGCTAACTTAACGGAGAAACTTCAGTTTCGATCAGAATCCACAGAATTTAGAATAATTCTTCAAGGAAATTTCCTATTTTCTATTTGTCTGGGTCTAATTATTGTCCTTTTCTGCAACAATTATTGTTAACATTGGTAATACAAAACCTAACCAACGTAATACTGAAAACTCCAAGAACAATGAAACAACCAGTCTGTGAAGCATCACTACTTTCGTGTTATCGAGTCTTAGATCTGAAGTAGAGCATGGCAGTTTTACTTTGACATCTTGTATGGGCTCTCGTGCAATAAATTTGATGGCTATCAGTTTCAAAGTAAGTTTGACAAATGTTGTTCCACAACATCTAAAACTTGAAAATTTTGTACCCTGGTCTACTTTCGTTCCAAGATCAGGCCCGGGACTGAACAGTGGTTTGAACAAGATTAGAAAATTTCCTCACTCGTCAAACGATCCAGTCATACAAGTTAAATTTTTGAACATCTCTCCTCATAAACAATTTATGAGTAATCATGTCTTAGCAGTTAACATACCGTACAAAAATTTCCAGACAGTCGAAGAAAAAAAAATACTGCCCCCTGCGATAATGAAACTCCCCGTATCAGAAATATATAACACAACACATAACAGAAATAACTCCTCACCTCAATCAATTTTTTGAGCGTTCAAGTGAAAGGGGTGGTGGGTAAAGTATGGCACGAAGGACACTTCACACCCTAGTTATACTGAACGCGAAATGTCGTAACTAATAAGGATTGCAGCAGCAGGTTCGAGCGCCTCTTACCTCATCTGAGTAACTCAAACTTTAATTTCACAATTTTTCACTTTTCTAAATCTGTTTCGCTATAATCCAGTTTAAATATAACCTTTATTCGGTCGAAAGAGGTATTTTAATTTTCACAGCTGAACTTATTCTCTCCTGGTATCAACCGACGATCGCCCCCAAAATTAATACTTTGCTTGAATCTTTTTTCACCAAAAATTTTTGACGCGTTCCAGGAATGCAAGATATCTTCTCACGCCTTTTTGCAAATATTACTTTCATGCATTCCACAATGATATGAAATCTCTAAAGTAAAACTCTGCTTGCCTCGAGTCTGTTATCAGGTTATCAGCCTACATTATTGCCCCTAATTGTTGAAATAATCATGAATTTTTCACATGAAGGTCTCTATTCCTGTTTTATCCATTTCTAGTTCTGCCTTCTTGAAATTGTATAGGAAAAGCGCTCTTCTAAATATTCATAATAACCATTTTTTTGTAATTGATTGGGATATCTCTCACGGATAATCTAGAAAAATTGGACTTTAATTTTTGCAAGGAAACGGGATCATTGACATTGATTCATGTTGTTTAATCAGGTTGCATAAAAATTTTGACAACTTCATCGATCTCTTGTAATGAAATATAAACGCCAGAGTTGTGCTATTATTTTTTTCAATCTCTTGACCTTTGAGGCAACCTTAGCACGAGACTCGGTCTGGTTATTGGCGTAAGCAGATAAGAACTGTAACTTCGCCCCTAAAAAAATAATTGAGGGTCTAACCCTTTTTTCGCGAAAAATCTTGCGTAAGCGAAGGAAGTGGAGAAGAACCATATTTGGGAAAGTTACCCCCACACGAAAACTAGACTGTTAGATTTCAGATCTATTTTTGAAGCGGTAAGAATTTATATGATTGATTCAATGATCGTGCTAAATGCCGAGGACTCCAGCAGAATAAACTAGGAGAATTACCCCCCACCAAAGAATAGATTATTAATAATTTTTTTTGACAGATTCACTTTTCAGGTTTCGATTAACTGCTTGAACTGATTCATTAAAATAACTTTTAATGTCAAGCTGGGCAAAAAACGCTGACAATTTCTTTCAATTTGACTACTCCTGGATCTGAGGCTGCGATGTAGCAAAATCATGGTATTGATTCGGGAGTTCTTACTTGAATGCGAAAACTACCTGACTTTGACTTCTTTAGCACATATGAATGTTCTCAGCAGGATAAACATAGATTGCCATGTGAAATAAGCCATTGATAATCAATAACAAGAGTTTAATTTGTAGAATTCACTCATTTCTCGGTGTATCACTGAAGTGATACACCGAGAAATAACAATCTTGCGCTATCTGCCTACACATCCCTTAAAAATTCTAGGGCTTTATGATGGTGTACCGTCTTAAACAATTTTATCTAAACGCAAGCTCCAAAATGTCTTGTAATGGTCACATTTATTAATTCAAACTTTGAATTATCCATGGTGAACCCCAAATACTTTTAGTGACTGTTAATCCTGAGAACAGGTGAAAAGGATAAACTGTTTTGCACTTCAGAGAAAAAGTGAGATCGAAATTGCTTCTTTTTCGGTATAAACTTCCTCTTGAGCGGTGAATGAGAAGTACGTTTTTAGCCTTGGCATGGCCCAGTGACGTTAAGGACGCCTTTTAAATGAGTAATTACTCGATCAGTCTGTTAGTCTGGTATCATATGGAATGCGTCGTTTCGGGGTGGGCATTGCCTAAAGGCTGGTAGCAGTGCGGTGGTATGAGACTGTTACTCGGACCTCAAGCAGAGTTACGAATTTTTCCACAACTGACAAGTTTTACCGGTGTTAACAACCGGGAAGTGAGGGAATCTTTTTAGAGCAGTTGATCAATTTCCGCCTAAATTAACAATTTCGCGCCCACTCGTCGTAAATGATTCATGTAAGCTTGTTCATATAACTTTTGATCTGCTTTTCGGTCATCCACTTGACCTTGATAAAATTGATTTGAAGACTCAGAATTTTTCAAAACTTTGCAAATTATAGAAACTATTAATAACCCGTTGAAATCAAAGGCCTTTCTCATTAGTTTGATCATATTCTAATATTTGCTCTCTGCGAACTGATGCCGAGTGAAATCCAAGGACAATGAATATTTCAGGGCGCACCAACGAGTTCTGTTATATCAGTTTAACATGACCAAGATAACGATTTGTTTTTCAGCTTGTTTTGTATCGCATTACGACCAAATTTGGAGTAAAGGTAGTTACAAATCAAAACAGATTCAGCGTAAATGTTGACTGAAAACGAACCGAAGTTGCGTGCCCTCACGATTGTCAATTTCTCGCGTGCCGGGCGCCATTAGATGGAAAAAGTTTTAGCTGTGATTGGCGTCCAATGCACGAGAACCCTGAAAGGCAGCCAGCAAAAGATGTGAACTTTCAACAAACAGTGTCATCTGACAACATCCCAAAACTCTTGAGGAATGTCGGTCTATTCATCGGATCACGACAGTAAGGTCACAAACCTGGTATGACATTCTTAGTTTTCGTGCACGGCATGAAATTGTAAGACCGTAATAATCTAAAAATTCCAATACATGAGTGTGCATCTCATCTCAGAGCGCTAATCTTTTCCTCTCGAGGGTTTTAATCAACATCCACTCGAAGCCAGATGAAAGCTGCCCGTATATGTGTGGCAAACGCGGTTGTACACATTCGTGACAAATCGTCCATGGAACTAAATAATGATATGTTCTTTCAACTTGTGCCACTTAGACGCGTTTCCAAACTTATTAAACAAATGATCCTAAAGGTCAATTAAAGAAATTAAGGGTTTAAAGCCTAAATGGCTTGTCTTTTAGACTTTTTTATTTCTTCTAGGAATCTTTTCTCGTGTGTATTTGATTTGTTACGTTAGTGACTGAGTGGCATCTGTCTAGTCCATGTTTGCTCAATATCACACCGCATTATCAGAAAGTCAAACAAGCTATTGCCCTTCATTGAAATCCAACTCTTTTCTGTGGTGACATATCCGTCAGTTGACGAGGTCATCCTTAAACTGGAAATATTTCCGGTATAAAAGCCCTCTGGCTGATAGACGCCAATTTTATTCAGGAATCTCCGAGGCAGAGTCTGCAGAAATCGTGTCTTTTGCGTTTAACTTCTTACATCTGTAATCAATAAGTTCGACGAACTTCTAAATTCAAACAGGATTGGATTTAGTTCCCATCGACCAATCAGGAGAAGCGAAATGGTATTATAGGAAGCGAGTCGGCTTTATTTGAGTGCTTACTGCATGTGCTAAAGAGATTAGTATAAATCAGCGAGCGTGAAGTAATTGCGGGGAGTGCGAGCTTTGACAAGCTTTTGTCTCTTTCAGAACTTCTTAGACTTCGCAATGAGGGTGCGTCGACGAGTCCGTCAAGTTCCACTAATCCTTTGCCTTATGCTCCTCACATCGTTCTTTCAAGTTGGACAGAGTGTATGGTGAGTCAAATCCCTTATCACCTCACTAGCACCCACTTTGTTTTTATTCAGGGGCTCGCTTTCCTTCCTAGACGGTTTTATGTTTGTCTCTGGTTTACACAACAGCATCTGGAAGAAATCCGAAGAAAAACATCATTCCCGTCAAAGTGAGGTGTTAGCTTAAATTCTTAATACTTGGTGTTAGTAAGGGTGTCAAAAGCTGCTCTTCAAGAGGAATTTGGCTGGCAGTCAATCAACCCTTCCCTGCCACTAAAAAATTGAATTGGGTATATTGGATGCCACTGTAAGACTTGTGCATCCATTTCTTTGCAGAGAGCTAATGGTTTTATAATCCCTTTGATGGCGATTACTTGTAAATTGCTTAGCCAAACATCTTTCCTGTTTTGTGTTTAAACAGGCCGCTTAGTATTCCACACCAGGCATTTATTGTAGGCATCGTCCCTCAGCCTTGCCACAATATGGGATTGTCCGACGATCAGAAACAAATATGTATGAGTGAGGCGAATCGGGAGCTTTTACCTACAATAAGATATGGTGCAAGTTTGGCGTACAAACAGTGTCAGTACCAGTTTAAGTATCGCCGTTGGAACTGCTCTGTGCCTGAAAAAGATAGCAATTCCCTGTTTCGCCGAATAACGGGGAAAGGTAAGTATTTGGTAACTGCACTCACTCTTGTTCTGTATCATGTTTTGACCTCAGCCTTGATTGTTTGTGTACGTATCGTCATAACACTGACTGCCATTTCCTATTCTTTCGTATGACACCTGGTTCAGCGAACATTACAGTGAATGTTTGTTTGTGCAAGAAAGCATGCTTAAAAACGTGCTCTTGTTACTCAGCACCGACTCAACCAGTGGTATACTTAACAGCTCAATAAGAATCCTGGCTATTTTCAAAAACGTACTTGAAGATGAAATTTCCATTCTGTTCGATAAAAGAGCCGCTTGAGATGGATGTGTCGAGATATTGAGGAAAGCTCTCAAACGATATTCGGTTGCTATGCAAAATAACTTATTTTTTCAAAGTTATTAACATTTCCAAGAGCTATTCTAGCATTTATCAGCATAACGAGATTGCGCATTAAGTTATGAAAGATTTCAGTCATAGTTCAGAGCGGTTACGCACTCACTTGTTTGGGAGGCAATCGTTGCGGTTTCTTTTGTCAGGATATTATAATCTTTCATGTCAAGATATGTCCCAGATGTCCACTTTAGGCGCTTGTGGTCTACGGCGGGAAAATTTTAAAAAATAGAAGTTTTCTCCGGTCGCAATACGATTAGCATAGACTGTAAAAAATGTTTGATCTTTTTACAAAATTTTGAATGACCCTAGACTTCAAAAATTGCATGATCGTGACATTTAGAAGGCCAATCTTTACAAGAACAAAATACGCAAGCATTTTTGAAACCTTTCCTTCAACTAGGCATCAAATTGTCATCTTGTCATTTCAAATGATTCGAAGATTGTTTGAGAACGTACTTGAATACGTTTCAGTCACTGAGTCGTCAAAAGGGCCAAGGCAGATATCAATGAATAGTGCTTTCTCAAGAGTGCCTCTCCAATCTGTCGACTTACTTCAGTTATCTTGGTCGAGAGACTCGGATACTGTTAGTTGAAGCTTTAAGTCTCTACAGTGATGATTCGGAAATATTCAAGAAAACTGGAGTCCTTTCACCATTTATTTACATAGTTCATAGTTCCATAGTTCATCTGTCTTTAGAGAGCTACGTGTTGGAAGAAAAATGAAACTGAGGTTGTTTGGTTTTTCAAGATAATTTTCATGTCTTCCAGTTCCTCCTCTTCTTAATTTACAGTCCTAGGAGAAAGCCAGACATTGATCAAAAGGACTTTTCTAATTCAAGAGAATATCTTAAAAGATCGGTTTAAATTTAGCAATTATAGACCAATATCCTTTGGAACCGTTAAAAAGTTTACTTTGCTGAACAACAAACTATTATAGATCGATTAATTCAGAAATTTTCCGTTGAGCCTCTTTAAAGTGCAACAATAGCTTCAACCATATTCTGGCGTAAAGGATTATCAAAGAAAGTCGCACTTTGAAAATATCAATTGTTATGTGTCTGTTACCTAAATCGAAGAGCATAATAACAAAAAGTGTGCCTGAGGCATCTTTGATTAACTTTTAAAAGTCGATAATTTTATCGACAACACTATGAATATACATTTAATTAAATGTTACCCTCTGGCGCCTCTAGGAGGGTTTGTTTAAGAGAATATCATTTTAGGCTTCTAATGAATATTGACAAAATTGTTTTCTCAATTGTCAAATTACATGGCAGGTTTTTTAGAGCCAGCTAGTTTCTATTATAACAAAACCCCAACTCTCAGAAATTTGAAAACAAAGCGCTATTCCCCAATTCACCTTAAAGAGGATCTTTAAGCACGTGGCATATCTGTTTAAAGATTTGCTTGGTGGAAACCAGATTTTCCTTCGCAAATAATGTTTAGAGAGTGGCTGAGTAGACGATTGACCATGAAAGTTTATGCTTCTTAGCTAAGCTTAGGAAGAAGCAGGTAGCAAAGGTGGTGGCAGTTGCAAATGTAACAGTAGTAGTATTAAAAGTGGTATGAAGTAGTAATCGTTGTTGTGGAAGTAGTAGTAGAAGTGTAGTAGTAGAAGTAGGTGCAGCAACAGCAGCAGAAGTGGTAATAATAGTGTTGATGCCAATAGCAGAAGTAGTAGTAAGTTGCCTGTTGGAGATAATATGTACCTTAATAGGTGTATTCTTGAACAGTTTCAATTAACTAGATTCCTATATCACAGTTGACGTCAACAGATTTTCTTGGTCGTGTTTAAAAGGTGTTTCAAAAAACAAATTATCTACATCATCAGAAGAAACATTCGTAATGGTAGTTGTTAGAGTAGCAGTGGCAGTATTGATAGTCGCAGTAGAAATTGCAGGGGCATAAGCAATGATAATAGGGCCTTACACTCCATCAATAGGCATTAGTTTAAGATCCTGCTTTCTTCTTTCACAAAAATAAGGGATGTCATGAGGAAAGAGTCAGTGTGTAGAAATTCATGAGCTTAAAATTCCTAAACAGCTCATTTCTTGTCTACGTCGTTAATAAAATGCAATTCAGTAATTGAAGCAGATGATTCATTCACAGTCTGATCTTGTGGATGTTTTCAGGTACGAAAGAGGCAGCCTTTACATATGCTATATCAGCCGCTGGTGTGGTGCACTCGATAGCCCGATCGTGCGTGGAGGGCAATCTCAGTATGTGTGGCTGTAGTCGGGAAAGAAGGCCTAAGGACTTAAACAGCAACTATCAGTGGGGAGGATGTGGAGACAACATAGAGTATGGCGCCAAGTTCGCAAAGAAATTCATGAAAGCTGGCGAGAACTCTAAACCGAAGGACACGCGTGAACTAGAAAGGAAGTTGATGAATCTTCATAACAATGAGGTTGGAATACAGGTGAGGAAATTTTATTTGCTGATCAGAACTCCATTTTGGCATGATTCCTGCTGTTGGGATAGTTATATGGTTGATTGTTATCGAAAACATCCTGTTTAAACATCTAGAAACTAAATCCTAGGTCAACTACATACGCATCGCATTTTGGTTCTAGCATCAATCTCTTCTATAGCTCAAGCGACATACCTCAGTGGTCATTAACAGTGCTTTATTTGACTTCAAAATCTCAACCACAAGCTGAGATGTCGTTTGCACACAAATTTCTTCGTAAAACAAATCTAGCCGGTAAACATGCAAACTCATCCAAAGGATCCGCATTTGTTAACACATTGCTGAGTTTAAGATCTTCACTAACATTTCATAGTTCAATTTTCCAGTGGAACAAACTATAAAATTTGGCGTTTCGCTTGCGAAAACATTGAGTGGTATTGAAAAATGATTGAAGGGAAAGAGGATAAGATCGCCGATTGATCTTCAACATCTCTTACTGGAAGTGCGGCATCCTTCCATCATAGATCAATATACCAGTCTACTCAACTTCGTAGCTTGAAATAGATACAACAGATGATCAGCTCAATATAATTTCCTTAGCTTTGAAACCCCACTGGCATCTCTCTCAAAATTGAAATCACATCTACATCAAAAGGCCAAAAATAGTGGCGGAACTCTCTGTAGAATACGATCGCTGAATTTCCGCCGCCCTATTGTGGTTGATTTATCGTCTTAGGCACAACGCCGTCGACCAAGATAGCGAATTACTCATACTGATGCAAATATCATACTGGAGCGTCACAAATGCAGAGAAATTTTGAGCGATGTGCAAAGTAACTATGTGTGGGTCAATAATTTACCCTATCAGACGTCTTTCATACTTAGAAAGTGAGCCACATATTAATCATGATGTCACGCCTTATTTCGCTCCTCCTTTTGAGCAGTTATTTGCACAATGTGTCAAAACCTTGGCTTGCATGTACCGGCGAAATCGAAGCCACACACTGAGGTTTCTTGTCAGTTGTTGAAAAGATATCGTTCGGCCTCCAACGAAACCTATTATCTCCCAATGGAGATAATATGTTTCTTTGACTACGTGGATATTGCTTGAAAACAACAAAATTCTGACAAGATTTCTTCTTATTGTTCTCTCTCCGTTCATACGTAATCTTTCTTTCTTATCCGTTCTCAGCCTCAAGTCATAAACTATATTTTAATTTCATAATGAAATGTCATCATCAGTTCTCTTCAGTTCTTTGAGGAAAGCGAAACAATTACTTCGGTACAGGAATAATGAAATTGTCTTTCCATGTTGAGCAATATCTTGATTAAGCTTGTTTTTCTCTTTGGTTCATAACTCAGAACGAGTTAATGTCATCAAATTTGGCGGGTTTTCTTTTATTTCAGTAACTATTGAGTAGTAGGTTTTCACTTCCCTTGCTGTCGGCCTCAGCTACGATCTTTACAGCAAGACATTCCTTTGGGAAGGAAATGCAGTTATTTTTGAAATGAAGACAGACAAGGCACCCAATGTTCAACTTCATGTGGGATAGATTGCGTCCCCGACTGAGCTGAAACGTTTAAGTACTTTATATGGAAATTCATGCCTGGTTGCTGTCTTATCTTTCCTTGGATATAAATACTAATAAATCAGTCAATTAATCCTTTTCGCTTACCCTTATTAAGCCTTCTCCTGAACTGTCGGCAGTCTGTAGACAATGTTTTTGCGGCCTTTCTGTCGGTGCCTACAGCCATCTGTAAGTATCTTGTTACTTTCAAAAGATAAAAATCATGGCCTATTACTCTCTATAATAGGTCGTCTGTCGTCATCTAAATAAATATTTCTGGTTAATTCATTTTCGTGACCGGTTTTGCTTGTACCAAAAAATTAAGCGGCCACAAAGGGATTGTTGCCTCTGTTTCTGATACTTTTGAAGTATGCGTTTTATCTCACCGACAGAATTGCTTTACGATCGTTCACGATAGATGTGGATAACCAAGCAATATCCGCGAATGATGTTTCCCAAACTGAGATCATCAACCAGATGAAGACATTTGGACTTAACCTTTAGTCATAGAGAGAAAGAATATCGCCATGACACTGAAGGAATGTTTTCTAAAAATAGTGGCAAATTTGCTTTTGTAAAATCTAGGGCTTTTAAGTTTGAATTTTCTTCCACGTGAAGTTCTAGATCTAAAGAAATTTAAAAACCGTCGTTTATCTTTTTCAAACAGGGTCTTTACCACTAACAGAATAGCTGCTTCTCTTCAAAATGATTTTCGCCTATCAGAGGTAGATCTCCTAGCAATTCATTGTTGGTTCATTTCGGTTTTTCTTTTGGGTGAAGACAGGTATTGTATTAGTCTAGGACGTATTTTGGAGTGCATTGAGCCTGACATCTGCAGTCACTTTCACTGTCAAAATAATCTATTCTTCCCTTTTTCCAAGTTCTAACCAAGAACCATGTTGACTTTATTTCGTGAGGCAGGTTTGGATATCATTCATCGCTCATTTCCTTCTATTATCATGTTTCTGTGGTGTTTGGTTAGTCTTTGTCAAGAGCGTTGTGATCACTTGAAATACTCATTTGCTTCCTGAGACATTGAAAAGATGTCGCCTGCAACTTCATGTGTAAAGAAACACCATCAAGCACAGAAAAGTGGCATTTTACCTTCACAATCTTCACAATTTTATATTGACATTTCACTGTGAAATCACTTTATCACCAATCAGTATTCAGCACTCTAGCCACCGTCCACCTTGAGGTAATCCAAGATCCTATCATCCATCAAGATTGTTTGCTGCATCTCAAGAGTTCATTGAGGTATCAAGCTTATCATGACCTGACAAGGTTGGAGTTTGCCTTGTGGACATCAGTATCGTGTTTTCTTACTTCCACAATCTCACTTGTAATGTGGTACTCATGGTTCAATATGTAAACTGGTGTGAATTATGCTCTTCAGTAGAAGTATTGCTCAGCTCCACAGGTTATCTGTTATTTGCTTTCTATCCGTTACGAAAAGAGATCCTACAAATTTCAAGTTTTTTTGATCACTAGTAATCCTCAAGAACGTGCTTGCTGAAGAAAATAACCATTTATTGTTTTCCTCGTGTTTAGGTCATTAGAGATAATTATGAAATCCGGTGCAGGTGTCACGGAATTTCTCAGTCTTGTGAAATCAAGACCTGCTGGAAGGAACTTGTCCAGTTCTCCACCATTGGGGAAAAACTCCGCACCATGTATGATAAAGCCGTCAAGGTCAGACTCGACAGAAGGACTGGGCGCCTCCTTAAAGGGAATAAAAAATCTGAGAACCAGAAGGTGACTGGAAGACGTAGAAGCACCTCCAACAAACCAACGATAGGCAATTTGATTTACTTGGAATCTTCACCCAACTATTGCATTAGAAGCAAGAGGCGTGGAATTCTAGGTACCGCTGGTCGAGAATGCAAAGTGGAAGCTGCGGAGGATGGCAACTGTTATGACCTCTGCTGTAGGCGAGGATTCCTTCCGCAACAAGTTTTAGTTGTAGAAAGATGCGAGTGCAAGTTTCACTGGTGCTGCGAAATTAGATGCAAGGAATGCCGCCGTTATCAGACAAAATATTTTTGTCTCTAAGAAGGCCACATTTACCACAAGTCCACCATGTCGGATGACGACTTGCGTGTAGTCGCCAAAGAAGAGACTCAAAGTTTTACTTGTGACAAAGATCAGCGAGAGAACAAAGAAGAATGCGGCAACGTAGCATTTAACTTTATTTAATTTATTTCATAAACCCTTAGTTTTAAACAACATTTCTAGGAGTGAGATTTAGAGCACTTCACTTTCATTGGTGAGGTAAGATTTAATATCTAAGATCTGATTTTTTTTCTTTCGCCAAAACTTCACCAATTTCCTCCAGAAGCTATAATTACAAAGCCATGATTGTTGAATCCGCTGGTGGAAACCCTTTTCCTCAGAAGATCTACCTTCTCGAACATTCCACTCAAGGCAAACGCTGCAGCATCTCAGAGAACGTCTTCTGGCTATCATTACCATCATATTAATTTCCTATCAATATTGTTATGATTTTCAACATCCTCATCAATATTACTTTTATATTTATTATCATTATCATCATTATTATTATTTTCTCTGCTTGCTCTTGTTATTTAATCCCTCTAGTAAGTTTTTTATATTTGAGAATAATGACGATATGAAAAGACTAGCTAAAGAAAAAAAATGGGGTATTACATTCGAGATTTCAGATTATATACATTTCAATGTAAATACAAAGAAATGTGTTATTTTGACCCAAAGATATAGTTTATCTTGAAGCGAGAGACCTCAGATTTTAATCGTTACCGAGATAATAACAGACAACGTAATTTAACTCTGTTCCTGAATGCGAATATTTTTTTAGAAACACGGGTAACCTTTATTTCACCTGTGGATTTAATCGATGAAAGATATTTTCAAACTGGTTTTACAATTTTAGTTTTGTTGATTAGGAAAACAGATTTAAACTGAATTTTAAATTGAAGCCTTCCAAACATTGATTTAAAAATATTTTAACTCGGCCATAGACTGAAAATGAATTTATGCACAAAGTGACAAGCTTATCTTATCTTGTAAATCGCTTTCAATTGATAATGAATACTCAATCCGAGATCAATTTACAAAGAACTCTTTTGTTTCACGATGTGAAAAGAGCATTGAGGAGTTGGTCTGTACGAGACCCATCTTGATTCACCAAAACGTTCTCTGTCATAGTAGCTCTGATTCAATCTAACATTAGTTCAAAAGGACTTTCCTCTTTCTCTTAGGTTTGTAATGCGTGATGATGATTTGAGACAAAAAAGGAAAATTCAAATAAATGGAAAAGGAAACCTCAATATCAAATTCCAACATCTATTTCGGGCCAACTCTAAAAATTACACATGGTTAGTTTTCAATGAGTTAAGGCAGATTAGTGTACAGGAATTGCGCGTTAATCATTCCGAGATCTGATTTTTTATCACCTCTGTAAAAAGATATATGATAGAACTTGTTTGCGGTTTTGTGACTGTTTTTGTTTAAGGACCTGAAAAATATATGTTATTTAAGTATACTTAAAAGAAACAGTCTTTCTTGCTTTGGCAGATTCCTTAAACCTTAATTTTTCCATTCGTTTCCTTTTAATTTTATCTCCTTTCTTCCCTAATCTTTCTTAACTCTTGTTTGCCCTTTAATTGTTTCCCTTGATTTTCATCTCCAATCCCCACTAGTTTCCTTTCACCCTTTTCTCCCTTTTTTTTTTCATTCCCTTCCTTCACTTTCGTCAACATTAGTTAACCTATCTTTCTCATCTATCCTTTTTTCCAATTAGCTGCCTATCAAATTCCATGTTTTGATTACAATCCTCCCATTTCCTTTCAATCTCTAACATCCCTTTCCTCTCTTTCTCAGCAATCTTTATATTCTTTTCCTTCCCTCCTTTCATTTCCATCTCTTTTCTTTCCTTCTCCCTCAATTTCTTCTTCCCTCCCACCTTTTTCTCTGCCTTTTCACCCCATATCTCTGATGACTTTAAAATCTTTAAGGATGAACGTCTTAAGCCCGGTATAGATGGGCGAGTTTCTTTCTCATGAGAGAGAAAACTTGGACTACATCGTTTCTTTTGTTTCCTAAATCGCACGGTTTTTTGCTCTGCAGGCCGCATGAAGATAAAACCGCATTTTAACTTGTCAACAAGTATGGCAATATGCTATAGTGTCATGTTCTACCACACTTCCAATATGTATACTACGGATAAGAAATTCTTAATAAATAAAGTGCTCGAATCTAATGAAAATTATTTGTCAGGGTGTTGAGATACATTTTTTGACCTTCATAATTTTTTTCAAAAACCTAACTTTGCTTTTTTAGGCCACAACATGTGGTACCTCGCAAGCATGATGAAGCAATTTATGCTTCTATGATAACGTGAACTTTTGACATGTCAATTAATTTTACACACGCACCACGTTTCCAGTATCACTTTTAATTGGTAACAGTCCTTTTACTCTGCTGTGTGACAATCTTTAACTGTCATATTATCTTTATTTCTTCCCTTCTAGATGGTTATAAAGGAAGCCAAGGTAGTCTGTTCGTGTCACGGGATATCCGGTTCGTGCAACATGAAAACTTGTCAACGCGTATTGTCAGAATTCCGGAAAATCGGTGACTTACTTCACGAGAAATACGACAATGCTGTCCGTGTTAAAATGGAGCGGAAAGACACTTTGGAAGTTCTGAACATCGTGAAGAGGAAGCGAAATGGTGAATATCGTCGAGATAATGGTAGATTGAGGAGCACCAATAAAGAAGCTGGGAAAGAAAGTTTGGTGTTCACTAAGGAATCTCCCAATTACTGCGACAAAAGCTCTGACTTTCCCAGTACAGTGGGACGGCTGTGTACCGCGACGTCGTACGGCTCTGATAGCTGTGAAAATTTATGCTGCGGACGTGGATTTCAGAAGGCTCAAGTCAGGGTGAAGAAGAGGTGTGAATGTAAATTTCACTGGTGCTGTGAGATACGTTGCAAGCAGTGTGAACAGATAGAGACGCGACACACCTGTTCATGAAAATTGCTGAGAAGTATTGTTGAAAGAACCCAAACAATGGTACCATAGGCAAAGAACACTACGGTGAACAGGCATTGTACGTTGTGCAACTTGTTTACAGCTGTAGAAAGCTAATGAAGCTGGGCTTTTTTTAATTGCAGTCACTGGATACTGTAGGTAGGCAGTTTTTATTGCATCGGTATTATAAGTTATATGGAGCACTGTCAAGCAAACGGGCTCGTAGATATTAATATTTGTGTGTTGCAGATTGATGAATAGTACTAATAATTACTTTACGTCTCATGAAATTGGGTGGTTTACTTATGGAGTGATTTTCAACTGAGTGTCAAATGTTATAAAGGATTGCTTGGTTTTACTTTACTTTGCTCAGTGTTGGTCAAAACTTGGGCCAACTTTTTAACCAGTCAGATTCCAAAACCAATCATGACTTGGTCACTCGCCTTTTACAGCGCTGAAAAAACTTTGCTTGTATTTATTTTGAGTTCTCATTGGCTTTTTGATGTTAACCTTTGCTATGATTGGTCGTGGTGTTTATTTTAGGTTTGGTTTTGCGTAGGGTCACTCACTTGAAATGAGTTCTTATTTTAACACATGGGTTTAAGTGACACATTGAATATGAACAATATAAAATTTGCTTGTCTTAAAATGTCTCATAGCTTATTTAGGCTCTGGACTGTGTTTTCTTTTTTCAATCAAAGTTTGGACCCCTCCTTATCCGAAATTTTTGGATCCGCTATTGGTTCTCGGCTGTGCACAAATATCTCTTTTAGAGAATTTGTTTGATCTGCTATTCCTGTTTCATTTATTGGAATATTTTTAGTTAAGGGTTACTACAAACTAGTTCTAAACCAAATCCCAATATATACTATAGAATATATATATATATATATATATATATATATATATATATATATAATAGAACTTGTAATCTCACGTTGTTTCCAAAGCCACCGATAGACTGTTTCAAAAACACTGATAAAAAAATCAGACCAACTCTTTAAAGGAAAACCATACCAGTTTTGTCAACTAAGGAAATGGATTCATTTTATCGGTCAGTGATATAAACCTTAATTCAAGTCATACAAAACGTCTTTTATTTCTTCGATAGTAAGGATGGCATTGATCACCCGTGATTCAGATCGTGTCCTTTTTTGTCATGGGATTTACACTGGGGTCCTATCCATATCGTCGGAGAAATTTGTGAACGGGATTTTCACTCTGAAATGGTCAAGTGTTGCCAATCCTCTCTAATTAATGGATATGGCATTCCTAAAATAAGGTTGAGTTTCAAATTTCTCCGACGCAGAACTGACGGGGCCTTAATCCTCCTTATAGAGAATATTTAGCTCTCCATTTGTGAGAAATTGCAGTTCTTGATTCTGCTTGTTAGCTAACGTAGTTGTTATAACATCTTCATTTTTTACAACGGGAAATTACGTATTTTTTTAAAAACTATCTGAGACACCTCTTGTTGTACGCAGCCGTTTTTATTTAGATTTTAGCCGTAAAAGATCTATAGTTAAAGCTAAACTATCGAGTTTTTCCAGAAAATGTTTCCCCGACAATTTTTCTTTTCATTTTTCTCAAACAACACCTAAAATGTAATTTTGAATAGGTTGGCTTGTCAAAGAAATGCCTATCAAAGTTTAAATGTGCAAGGGTACATGAAAAAATCAGGGAAACATGTCAGGGAAATCCTAAAGAACATCTAACTGACTATAGTGATGTATAATGGAACGTGGATGGGGAGGTAAATATTTTACCTCTCCCTCGCAAACAAAGCATCTTTCTTGAGTGAGTTTTTAAATACTAATAAGGCTTTATAGCCCACATTGGGCAAAAATTTTAAGGTGCATGTGAATAATACCATATACCAAAGATTTTAAAGAGTGTTTGGTTTCACATCATGAAAATACATTATTTTAATGTTTTAATAAAATTTGTGTGCTTTTTGATTACCTCGGTATGTTGGATTGCGATTCTATTTCGGCCCTGTTGTTTACGAAGCCGAGCAGGATCTAAGTGGGGGAGGGGAGCTGAAAGGTTTCGGTCGATCTCCCTAAACTGAGAAAGCTAGCGTCAAAACAAATGTCAATATCAATATGATAACTGATAACTTATTTTTTAATTTATACTTAAGTTTTTCTTATAGCGTGACAATAATTTTTTTTTTCTTTAAAAGGTCTTGGATCTAGAACCTAGACAGGCAATTTCAATTTTGTAATCTCGCAAATTACGATTTTGCCTCGAGTTGTTTCTGCCTGGAAAGTTTGAATTCCTCTTTATAGCTTTCAAACAACCCGCTCGTGGTATCGTTGATTTTTTCGAAACAGAGAAAAGTTTCAGTCGTTGTATATTCGATGGCAGGTTCATCCATGTTTAACTTCAATGCATCATTGCGCTAACCTTATCTCGTTCTCAAGTGCACTCACAACTCCTCATATAGATTAATCTATATGGGAAGTTGTGTGAGCACTTTTGGGAACGAGATAAGGTTAAATGTTCTATCAAATGACTCTGCGCCGGTCTGTTCAGTTTTAAATTTCTTATGGTGAACGCATGCAAACAAAGATGGAAAACGAAAGCTGGATTTGAACCGTAAAAAGGTGAGAGGCCGTTTATTGACCCACGCAAGAATGCATTGAAGTAAGCTTCTGTGTGACTTCTTTTGCTTCCGGTCATGACACCAGTAACAGTCCAAATTTGGTTCAGATCAGAACAGCCAAAAACTAACAATATCGATGTCCAACTTAAAAAAAGATCTCGACAAAATTGTTATAATCAATCAAAAATAAATGAAGAAGTTGTCGTAGGTTTTTTTGTGCGACTGTTTAATAACCCGTTGATGGGTTGATTTGGCACCTGTTGGATCGCGAGTTTTGCGTCGTTCGTCATCAATGTTTAATCACGAAATTTGACCTCGTTGAAGTTTATTCACTGAATGCAAACTCTGCCAGGGAGCTAAGTGGTAGAAATGGCCCATCTCCTCTGTTTTATCGTTTTAATAATTGTCTTTAGTGCTACCTACGCCATAGAAAGTGGGCTACAAGGCACAGCAGTGATAAATAAGAGCTTGGAGGCAAGATTCCGAAACGAAACGCTCGAGAATGGCTCGTCGATAGTGAATGCTACACACATGACCATACCCTCCTTGATAATGCTGTCCGTTGAGATTATAAAGAATGGAAATCGCTCTAACAACACAGAGAAGGCGCGTGATGGCTCAGAGATTTTCTTTTTGGATGGGAAAACACCAGAGGAACTTTCTTTCTTGCAACCTCCCAAAGCCTCTCCGTATTTCCCGCGATTTAGTGAAATCTCGATGCGGACTCTATACTTGATTGTCTGCATGTGCTTGTTAATTCTTCTCCTGATGATCGTCAAACTGTTGGTTTCGAGAAAAGAGCGCAAAAAGGATTATGATATGGTAACCAGAGGAGAATTTGACGCTTAAACCGAACGGCTGAGACAAAGGATTAGAAGTCAGGAGTTTGGAAAACAAGTT